TGTTGGCATGAGAGGACACCTGAGAGCGCCGGTGCCCCCCACAGGGTCCCCGAGCCTCACTCCCCGCCGCGGGGAGCTTGTGGTGGACTGGGACAGGATAAGAAGTGGGGTGTCTTTTTCCTCTGGCAGTCAAAGAAAGGAAGAGGAAATAAAAATGCCCCGTTACTGCCACCATTCCTCGGGCCCCTGAGGTGCTTTCTCAAGTGTCCTTGCAAATGGAGGCGCCGGGGAGCGGGTGGAGGGCATCTCCATCGGCACTGGGAAGGATGGTGGACAGGAACCGGCCCCATTGTAGCACATCCTGTTCCCACACCCCACCCGCGCCGAGGAAGAGCAGTGTCCGTGGTACCCCGGCAGCGCCCGACGTCGGGGCTGCTTTTACTTCTGGCATTACACCGCTGATCCCCGAGCGGATCCTCGGTGGAGAACCACAACCGAGAGTGAGAAAGATTAAAAAAAAAAAAAAAAAAATCACAACCGAAAAGTGCCCTGGCTCGCCTGTGTGTCCCCGCATCGCCCTGGCGCAGCTGCTTCTTCCCATACCCGAGCAGAACCCCGCGGCAGAGCCCGGGGGCAGAGCGGGGCTGTGTCCACTGTCCGCCCCCACGAGTCCCGCGGAGCCCCCACAACTGCGCCGCCGGCACCGGGATCGCCCTGGCCAAGGGCCACACCGGCTTGGGTTCGGCAGCCCAGAGCCTCCTCAACCCGCCCCCGGTGGCTCTGCTGCTGCCGCAGCTACCCAAGTTTTTATTCTCATCCTCGTTATCCCAAACTGATCAAGTGACCACGAACAAACAAACAAACTCTTTTTAATGTAAGGTTTGCTCACCTGGTGCAGTAACGATCAGTTCTCAGGGCACAGGACTTCTTCTTCCAGCAAAGTCTGGTTCTCCGACTTACTCAGCCGGAAGAAAGAGCACCATTAGCTACTTTAAATACACTTTTTTAAGTCTGTTTAAAAGGCATTTGATGTAGAGCATAAAGATGCACCTTGCGTGCTGCTGTCAGCAACCAGCCCCGGGCTTGGGCACTACATGTCCAACTCCCCAGCAGAAGAAAAGTCAATTTTTTTTTTCAACTAAAAATTTATTACCCTTTTCTCAACGTTTCAGCCCTTGGCCGTTCGGCAAAGCTTTTTCCAAACGGCTTTAGATCTAACCAGAAACCGTTTGAGTTTTGTTTTGATCCGACCGCCGCGCTGCATTTATTTCTTGTAAGACAAAATGAAAGTTAAATCGAACTGGTTTCGCCGACAAGCAGTCGGAGTCCCGGGGCTGAAAGGTGCTTTGGGCCATGCCCCCTGTTGCCAAGGACCCTCCCCGGACGTGGCGGGAGCTTCCCACCGGGATCTTTCGCCGTCCTCCCCCCCAGGTCTCCCCCGGTGGCCCAGGGGTGGGAGGGCGACCGTGGCAAAGCCGATCCCTGCAGCCCCCAGTCCGAGACGGGGTCCGGACAAATGGTCGGCGAGCAGAGCTCCTACCTCTGCTCAGTCACTTGTTAGCGCTGCCTCGGACCTTACCCGACGGGGAGGGAGAGGTGAGTGCTTGATAATGTTCACTGTAAACCACTGTGGTATTCACTCGCTTAGTTCCGCCGTGGCCTCGAGCAACGCAAGGAGGTACGGAGGGAGGCCGGAGGCAGAGCCGGACCCCCGAGGCCTCCCCTCGGTGCCGCCTTCGGTCCCCCAGCACCCTTCACCGGGGTGGACGCGGCTCTCCGTGCCCGGGGGCAGCGCATCTCTCCCCGCACCCACGGCCCTCCAGGCAGAGGGAAGGGAAGATCTCTTGTAAAGCTCCTAGCCGTCAGAGCCCGCAAGATAAACATCATTGGAAATCATTGTAATTGGGATTGTGAAATCTGACCTCTGACCCGCCGGGCTACGTGTCACAACCGTGTCTGCTTTGATTCCTCGAAAGGCGGCACAAAGGAACAAGCTCCGTGACAGGAGGCAGCGGGATCTGCGCCCCGGCCCGCGGGTACCGACGGGGGGGGAACCACGCGTGGCCTTCCCCTCCTCCCCTGCGCCGCATTTGCATATGCAAAGCAACAGAACGTCGGGCCGTCCCCGCCCCGAGGGTGGTCGTCAGGCCGGGGCCGGGGTCGTGGAAGCAAGTTGTGTCTGACTCCCGGGGTGCTTTCGACGGAGAAATGAGCGTCGATGCGTCCTTCCACCAGCGGAGGGAGGACGGGGGGGGCGTCTGGTGGGTGTTGGCTGATATTCACATGCCACAAACGAGAGTAGGGATGTAGGGGAGAAGACCCACATGGCAGGGAGGAAAGAAGGGGAAGAAACCGCGTTTCCTTCAGGGTTTTTCCACCTGGGCTAGTGGGTGCTCCTCCTGGGCCTTGGTTTCCCGGTGCCTTCCACACGTCCAGCCTCCAGCTCTCTTCTCCAGCCGGGGTTCTGGTGCGTGTCCCCCTCCTCCCACCACTCCGAGCGCACCTGATCCCTCTCCTACCCGGAGGGTGTTGCACCTTCTCTCTTATTTCTTGGCTCGGGGTGGTGCTGAGCCCCCGTTGGAGGCCTCCCCTCCACGGCTGCTGGCCGGAGAGGATCCCTGTGGGGCTGTCAGCCCCTGGCACCCACGAGGGACCAGGGTCACTCGTGGAGCCAGCGACGGCAGACCTGAACCTCGCTGGCCTGTGCCGACTCCCTCATATGCCCCACTCAGCTGCCCTCAAAAAATCCTAAAAGCATAATTATATTAAAAAACCTGATTTGTTTAAATAATCCTCTTTAGACTCCCTTTAATCTGCCCTAGATTTCTCCCGTCGTCTTTATTCCTGACTTGTCCAGCTCAGCTGAGCTCGGCTGGACACCCTGTGGCTGAGGAAACCTCTCTTCATCTCCCTTCCTCTCCAGAGCTCCCCAGCCTGCAGGGCCCCCCGCGCCTGGAAGCCAACTCCGGGCTGCAGGTAGGCAGCGGGTCCCAGGGTCTGTCATCGGGGCTGAAGGGGTTGACAGCTCTGCTTGACCCAGCGCCGAGAGCGAGCAAGCATCACCCGTGCCCTGCGGACGGGGGAAGCAAAGCCCTCTCTCTTCGGCAGGGCAGGGCCTAATCCGGCCCAGGAATGCTCTCAGGGAGGGTCGTTACTGGATTTTGAAGAAGAAATGTCATTTTTCGCTTGTAGAGCTCCAGGGGAGTGCAAGATGGTCGGTATGAGAAGGGCAGAGGACTGAACTGAGACTGGAGCAGGGGAAGGACAGGGACGAACTCTGTGCACCCCTGACAGCAGCGAGAGGGACACTTAGAGGGGATCTGAATGCACCCCCCGAACCCTGCAGCTGCCCTCGGTGACCACTTTCCGTGTGAGCAGTACAGCTCGCATTTTGAGGGACAGTTTTATTTTCTTCAGCGCGGAAGATCTGACTTTATGTTCCAATCCCATTAAAAAAAAATAAAATAAAAAAAAAAAAAAAAGAAGAAAGAAATGCACAACTTTAGATGGCGCTGTACAACATTTATTTAATCCCTTCGAGTATTCCTGGGTCCTTGGCCTGCAGAGAAGAGCAGAGCCTTCAGCGGGCAGAGGTGGCCTGGGCTGGGCGGGGATGGGATGGGATACGCTGGGGTGGGATGGGATGGAATGGGGTGGGATGAGGTGGAGGAGGGGTCCTGCCCCGCCGGTAGTGGGCGCGGAGGGCAGGGGCCTGTCGCCCCAGCCTGTGCCTCCATCTCCGGATGGTGAGAACAAACCGCAGCGCTAAGCAGGAAGAGTTAAAATGCATAAAAAACTGGCAGAAACCACCTCCCGCTGCCCCTCTGCTCCCCTTCTCGAATAGATGGAAACCCCCTAATGCCTCTGACGGGACGAGGAGGGGGGGAACTGCAGGCTGTGCCGACCGGGAGTGCCGCTGCTCGCCCCCCTCCGCTCCCCGGCCCGCCGGGTCCCGCTGCCCGGGGCACGGCCTCGGCACTGCCCCATCCTCCGGGGGAGGCAGGAAAGAAGGTCCCCCCGTTCCAGCTCAGCTGGCTTCTCCCCTCTGCCCTGCCGGCTGCGGGCCTAGGGCGGGGATCCAGAGGGGCAGAAAGAAAAGAGAAAAAAACCCGACAGACATCCTCTTCGAGGGTGTCGGGAGGCTCTCCACCCGCTCCGGTGCCTGGTTTCCTCAGGGGCAGTGAGGAACGGATCCCCCTCGCTCGCTCTCAGCTCGGCGGGGCCCCACGCAAAGGCCGGGTGGGTGCCAGGCCCAGGTGCGGGGCTCCTCGACGGCTCGAGGACAAGGCCACGGGCACGGCCCGATCCCGGCCCATTGGTGTCCCCGGGCCGGCGACAAAGAGAGAGCCGAGCCCGAGTTTAACCGGGGCGGGAGGAAAGTAGAGCCGGGAGTTCTGCTGTGCCGCCGGCCCCCCGCCACCCCGCGCTTCCCACTCACACGGCAAATGTGATCCCGAGCCCTGGAAGAGGGAGTGGAGGGCAGGGGCTGGGGTCGGGAGACCTCCCGGGAGCGCCCGGCGCAGCGCCCGGCAACAAGCGCCGGTCGCTCCGGTCCGATGCTTCGGTGAGATCCTCGTTGGAAACAGTATGCGAGTAGATCCTTTCGGACCGAGGCAAGGAGCTGTCAGACAAATACCTTTCCAATACATCCCGGAGCTCTAAACGTCCAGACGGTTTCAGGCAATTTTTCAGCGGGAGCTGGTGATATATTATTACCATTATATAGAAGTGTTTTTTATTTCTGGTTAAAAGGGAGATGTGGGAGGTGAGGCACGACCGCAACAGCCAAAGAGAGTTAATTGTTTTTTAAGAGGGTGGTAAAATTAAAAATAATTTTTAAAAAATCGAAGGTCTCAGACAGGGTTTTTAAACAAGGGATAAGAGGTTTAAAAATTGCTGCACCTATCCATCAGAAACAAAACCTAAATACACCACCAAAATGGCACTATTTACACAGCATATGGTGCATGTAAAGATACATTTCTTTTTTATATTTATATATATATATATATATACACAATCATACATGCACTAAAATAAAGAACTACAGCCAGCCTGGATCCTGAACACAGTCTACACTTTATTTCAGACTACAGATTTCTGAACATAATAAAATCTTTGGCTTGTAGCGGCGGGTTCAGTCTCGCAGTCTGTGGATCAGAATTTTTTTTTCCTCGGGGAAAAAAAAAAAAAGAGAGAGAAAAGACAGAAATTCACGCACACAAAAAATAAAATAAGATCAAACGAAAGATGAGAAAAGTCCGACATTTACTGTAAAACAAGAGCAACGAACATCGGGGGGGGGCGAAAAAAAAGAAAAAAAGGAAAGCAAAGAAAACGAACAAACAAACAAAAGAAAGGAGAAGGAGAAGGGAAGAGAGAAACTGTCCAGCAAATAGAGATCGCTACACATATTTCTTACCTGAAATTAAATATTTACAAGGTCATATGCTGTTTGGCTATATAGAGATAATTTTTTTAAGTGTTCATATTTTATTTTTTTTTCTTAATCGGAGTCCTTATACTATGGATAGACAATAGATCTGCTTTTAAATCGCACCTGTCCGCCTCCCGGCCGGCGGGCCGGCGCCGCGGCGCAGGGCTGGGCTGGGGCCGCCCGCCTCACTCGCTCTCCTCTTTGTCCTGCACCGTGGTTGTGGAGTGGTTGTAGAGTCCCTGGGCCATGAGATGAAGCGCCAGCCCGTTCTTGATGCCTGTCGCCTTCTTGATCTTAGCCCGTTTGTTCTGGAACCAGATCTTGATCTGGGACTCGTTGAGGCTGAGCTCCTGGGCCAGGCTTTGCCGCCGCTGCTCCGTGATGTACCGGTTCGCCTGGAACTCCGCCTTCAGCCGCTGCAGCTGCTCGGCCGTGAACGCCGTCCGCGGCCGCTTGTCCTCCTTCTCTGTCTTCTTCTTCTTCAGCTTCCTGGTGCGAGGGCCTGCGGGCAGGGCACACACACGCCGCTGGGCAGGGCCGTGCCGCCGACCGACCGACAGACCGACCGCACGACCGACCGACCTCCACCCCCGCCCCGCCAGCCGCGGAAAAATGGCCGACGGGTGCATTTGTGCTGGTTCCCTGTGTCCCACCAACCCCCCCAGCCCCGGCACAGCCGCCTCGGCGCGGCGGAGGGAAGGATGGGGAAGGAGTGGGGAGGCCGGGGCCGAGCGCGCCCGGGCATCGCCCGCCGCCCCGGCCCCGCCAAGCCGGCCCCGCAGAGCGAGGGGATCGAAGCCCCGCTCGGCCCCCAGCCCGGCACACGTCGGGGTGCCGCTCCGCCCGCCCCGCCGGGACGAGCCGTGCTCTTTCTGCACGACTCGGGACCGCAGCGCTTCGGCCGGGCAGCGGCTTCGCCAGGCAGAGCGGGGAACAAGGGTCACCGCTGTCAGGCACCGGGAAGCTGCCGCCAGCGGCAAACTGGCCGAAGGCTGCCCTGCTCTCTTTTTTGGGGGCCACGACCGTCTCTGCAAGGCCAGCTCAGTCCCAAGGGTTCCTTCTCCGCCGCCACCCCGGTGCCCTGCCGTCACTGCCCGAATCGTCCGGGCTCTCCGGCGGCCGATCCTTGCCGCAGACCAACAGCCCCGCTTGCAGCTCCCTCCGTGCAGCCCAGCCGAATGCAGTGCCCCCGCCTCTCCACCTCCAGGCCGCAATGGGGCCGGCTAAAGTGTCACACAGCTCACCCGGGAAGCCGCCCGGTCCCGGGGCACATCCTAGGGGCAGCGCCCAGCCTGGGGGGAAGGGATAGCCTCTGTCCTCTGCTCGCCGGCCCGGCCCTGCCCGACCAGGAGAGAGAGGAGGAGAGGAGGGGGGGAACCGTGAAGAAAGGGATCTACGAAAATCCCCCGACAGCTGCCGGGCTCGGCGGGTGGCTCCGAGCCCGCAGCCCCCCGCCAGCAGCAGCCGCAGCCGAAGCCAGCGAGGCCTCCCTGCTGCCGAGTAGGCCGAAAGCTCCTCTCCCGGCGCAGCCCTTCCCCGAACCGGGGGATTCTCCGCGGCTCGGCAGCGGCTGTCGGCGGGGAGACGGACGGGGCCCGGCGGGATGCTCGCAGGCTGGGCCGGAGGAGGGGCGGAGGGCGCGGGGAGTGAATAGCTGAGCCCCGGCACCTTGCAGCGGGGTGCCGGCACCTCCGACCGCCGCAGCCCGCTCGTCTCCGGAGCCAAGAGAAGCAGCCGAGGCCGCAGAGCAGCTCCGAGCACAACAAAGAGAGTGGCCGAGCCGAGCCATCCTCCCCTCGCCCTTCTCCCCTCCGGGCTGCAAAGAGCAGGGAGCGTCGGGGAGTACATTCAGAAATCATCCTTTGCCCGAAGAAAGGGAAGGAAAGGAAATGAAGGCGCAAGTGCAAAACGCCGGGCGCACAGCGGCCCTGGGAATCGGCAGCACAACACCCTCGGACGGGCCGGCCGGGAGCGAAGCCGTGCCGTCTGACAGCTCTATCACCTCATCAATCACCCCAGTCAATCAAAGCGGCTTTTCTGAGTTTCAAGTCGCTGGACGTGTCAATAACGGGGGATGGAGACGGCTCGGCCGCAGTGACGGCCAGCGGGGAGCACTAGGCCGGGCAGAGCGGAGCGGGGCCGGGGCAGGGCATCACCGCCTTCCTTGCGCATCGGAGCGGCCCCCGGGCAGGCACAGGGCAGCCCATCCCGGCCCCGCGCCGAGCTGCCGGAGCCCTGGCTGCTGGCAGGGGATATCATGGGGGAACCCACTCTCCTCGCCTTCTGCTTCTTGCAAACAAATGGCATTTAAAACCAGAACATAACGGTGATAAATAAGGGGCTGCCTGGGGCACCTGGGGAGTGTAAAGAGGTAGAAGGGGCGGCAGAACGGGGCCGGGAGAGCCGAGCCGGCAGCTCCCACCGGGACGGCCCCGGGCAGAGGCACATCCTCTCCCTGGAGCTGGGCCCCAAACAGCAGCAGGGAGCACCGGCTCCGGAGGCAATGCGCGGCCTAAGGGCCTGCCTGGCTCGCTGCAGAGGCCCCGGTAAAACAGCCCCTCCGCCACCTTCCTAAAAAGCCCTTTTCCCTTCGCCTGCCAAGAAAACAGTACCTCCCCCATCCTCCCCGCCCCGCCAGCAGCCGCTCAACATGTGGCTCGGGTCTTCCCCCCGCCACCAGCACCCAGGAAAAAATAAGGGGAGAGAAAGCTTCAGAGCAAGGAAACGGCCGAGCCCGCTGCTTTTTTCTCTCTCGGCTCTCACCCCGCGCCGCCGCGCTGCGGAACAACCGGGGCTGCGGCAGGCGGGGCGGGCCAGGGGCGCGGGAAGGGGGTCGCTCTCGCCGGCTCCGCATCGAACCGCTGCCGAATCGGGGCCAGGCGTCACATTCAAATTTGGGAGACTCGGAGGAGGAAGGAGGGGTGGGGTGGGGGGGACGCGTTTCCTCTCGCCCCGGGTGACCCAGGCCACCCTCCCCCCGCGCCTCCCCACGCGAGGTCCTGAACAGGCCGGGAGCCAAAGCCAAGGGGGGAAGAGGGGAAGGGGAGGGAGGGGGGCGACCTTGTCACGATTTAACAGCTCCCAGATGCGCCGCGGTTCCTTACCCGAGGACGGTCTGTCTGAATACCTAGTGCAGTAGACCCAGGCAGGCCACACCAGCGGCTGTTGCGAGTCGGGCTTTATAACAGGTCCTCCATTATTAGAGCCCATGAGGAGGATGGCGGGACTGCCGTGCTCCCCGTACTTCGCCGGGTGAGTCTCGCCCCCGTCGGTGGGGGGCTTGGCCGCCCCCGACGCCGCCGCCGCCGCTGCCGCCGCGGCGGGACTGGCTTTGGCGGCGGCGGCGGGCGGTGGCGGCGGCGCGGAGCCGTCGGGACGGCAGTTCGAGTCCGGGCAGAGGAGGGCGGGCGGGTTGGGCGGCCGGGCCAGCAGCGGGTTGACGTTTTCTCTACCTGAGCTCTGCCCCCGGTCTCCGTCCCGCTCTCGGCTGCCTCCTCCTCCGCCGCCGGCCGGCGCGGGCGGCTCCTTCTTGCAGCCGAAGTCCGGCCTCAGGATGTTGTCGATGAAAAAGTTGGTGGTGCGGTGGGGCGGCGGCGGCGGGGGCGGTGGCGGGGGCGGCGGGTGGCGGCGGCGGGGCAGAGGCAGGGGGCAGGGCGCGGCGGGGGAGGAGGGCGCGGGGCTGGGGGACACGGGCACGCTCTCGCCATCGCTGCCGCTGCTCGCCGGGCCGGGCGCCGCGTCTCGGTGGCCGTGCCCCTCCGGCGGCTCTTCCATGCTCAGCCGCCGCCACGGAGATCGCTGCCTCTTTTCCCCCCCACCCACCCACTTTACGCCCACCCCACTTTGACGGTGGGTGGCGGGGTGGAAAAGGGGGAGGAAAAAATTAAAAAAAAAAAAAAAAA